TGGATACTCAGAACCGAATCAAGTTAAGGAAATTATTTCTTTATTTTAAATTGAGGTCCTACCTATAATGACACCATCTGATGTAACGACCTCCACCATACCATAAAAAAAATATAACAAAGGCTAGGTCTCCACCTCTAGAATGCCTTCTACCCGCCTGTCCTCCACCCCTAACTGATTGTGTGGGTGGTGTGGTAACTGCAATGGGGCACGTAGCCTGAGTGCTTTGATGAAATATATCTCTCCCAACTTTGGAACAATTTTTCTCATGATGTGCCTGGTATCACCGCATTCATAACAACCCATTTGCGGGTTTGGCTGCTCATACTGAGTCTGTGCCAGATAACTAGAATAACCATTGTAGGACATTTATGTCAGTGGTGCATTAAAATAACTTACTATAGCACCCTGAGTAATTCGATGTGCGGATTGGGCTGGCCGACTGCTCGAGCCCCCGCCATAATGATTTATACTTGCAGAGTAGAATCCACTGAATCCCCTAGAACCTCGAGACGTCTTGGTCTCCTAAGTTTCTTTTTCCTCACCCCGAACACGTTCTAATATCTTGGCAATTTCTACCACTAGTGGAAATGAAGTATCAGCCTGTAGCTCCCGAGTCGTACAAAATTTTACGATCATAATTAAGTCCTTTAATGAGTCTATGGACTCGCTCTCTGGTTGTAGGTAGCAAAGAAGGAATATGACGAGCTAGACTATTGAACCCGATGGCATATTATGACACCATAATGGTGACCTGACGCAATCGTTCAAACCCTATGTGCCATGCATTACGGAGAGTCCAGGAAACAAACTCTTTCAAAAGCATTTCTGAGAACCGAGCCAAGTGGGCAGTGTTGTATTGACTGGTCTACCCTCTTCATAGGCTTGTAACAGACACCTGTGGAGAATTATCTCTCCTAAGGCCAATTTCTTCTTTTTATATACTGACTCAACACTGTCGAGCTGACACATTCCTTAACATACTCTTCGATTCTTTTTTGGGGTAACCTTTACCTCCATTTATACACAACGATCACACAAGTAGAGCTCCATACATGCAAATCTTGGCACGAACCACATAGTCCAGAATCTCGTCAACCACTGTACTTCCTCCGAAGCACTCCGAAATCCGCAACCATGACGTCCATGCTGAGTAGACATTCTATAGATTTAAAGTTGTTTCTCTAACTCCTTTGGTACAGAAGTATAAGATTATTAAGTAGGCGGACATACCGCAAGTCTCAAGCTTATCCTCTACAAAATCTCAGCACCTAAACATGTGTAAATATTTGGGGAACCTTTCAGTACCACATATATACATTTCAGGCCAAAACTGCTATAACACATGACCCCACAATCCATCCATTGATAGTGGACTCCCCCCCCACTCGGCGTGAAGTCATAGTTCACCATGACCGATGATCCAAAATAATAACCTTCACAGCTCGTATCAATCAACCAGATGCTAAGGTCCGTTGCACCCCTCACCGGATTCACTGGGTGATCTCTTAATACGTCTACATCTTACGTCGGAATCACACATTGAGGCAATGTTTGAGTATTTCTGGCTCCCTCATAGTTCATTCGCGGCATCACGAACCGTCGATGCACAACTGATACCAAGTGCGCAATGTCATACATGAGTGGATACAAAGGAATACGAGATATAGGTTTCAAGCAAAAATCAATGCCGCACTATAAGGAAGGAAAGAAGTGATATTTGTTCCTAAACTTCATAGCCTCTGAGAGATAAGTACAGACGTCTCCGTACCGATCCTTCTCACTCTACTGAGTTTGCTCGGGACTCGTGAGACCTATGTAACCTAGTGCTCTGATACCAAGTGTCATGACCCAAAATTTCCCACCGACGGGACCGTGATAGCGCCTAACATTTCACTTGCTAGGCAAGCCAACGTTAGAAAATCGTTAAACCAATTCCTTATTTTCATTCAGTAAATAACAAAAAAATTAACTAAGATGAAATATAAGAGGTGCGAAATTTTATAAAACTGTATTAATTACTACCACTCGAATCTGGAGTCACAATTCACGAGCATTCTAGAATTTACTACAAGTAATAGTCTGGAAGAAATACAACTGTTTGAATGTAGGAAAACAACAGTGACATAAAAAGTAGACGGGGACTTCAAGGTCTGTGAATGCCGACAGATCTACCTTGAGTCTCCAGACAGCGGACCAATAGCAAAATCTCGATCAACCTGAGCCGGTATCAAAGTCTGCATAGAAAGTGCAGAGTACAGCATCAGTAAAACCGACCCCATGTACTGGTAAGTGTCAAGCCTAACCTCGGCAAAGTAGTGACGAGGCTAGGACAAGACACCTATATATAACCTGAACGGTATAATCATGCTAGTGGCAACAACAGTAAATAAAGAAATAACACATAAATAATGGGAAAGGAACATATAGTGGGGGAATACAACATAAAGAGTGAGAACAATGAAAAGACAGAATTAAACCGAAAATCCTTAAATTAATTGAGCAATTAAAACAGAAAGGAAAACTGCACGGCATCACCCTTCGTGCTTTTACTCTCAACCTCACCAAATAAAGAAATAGAACGGCACGGCATCCCCCTTCGTGCATTAAACCTCTCATAATGTACACGGCATCACCCTTCGTGCTTTTAAACCTCTCATAATATACACGACATCACCCTTCGTGCTTTAAACCTCTCATAATATACACGACATCACCCTTCGTGCTTTAAATCTCTCTTAATATACATGGCATCACCCTTCGTGCTTTAAATCTCTCATAATATACACGACATCACCCTTCGTGCTTTAAACCTCTCATAATATACACGACATCACCCTTCGTGCTTTACACTCTTCCTCAGAATATAAATAATGCATGCACGACATCACCCTTCGTGCTTTACACTTCTCCTCATCAATCATAGAATCAATAACAACGGAGAGAAGTTTCACAAAGAAATCAATATTTTTTCAATGATTACTTTCACAATTTAACATCTCAACCTCGAATTAATATTCACAATTTTATCAACCTTGGTAGAACCGGATACAAGTCTCCCAACATTTCAACAACAACAATAAGTATGGATAACAAGATTTAAGACTACAAATTTGCAAGAATGGAATTTCACTCGCATGCTATGACTCGACTACAATGCATAGATGCTCGTCACCTCAACTATACATCGTATTCAACAACAAAACGCGTAGCAAATACTCACACAATACCTATTCCCTCAAGCCAAAGTTAAACACAACACTTACCTTGCTCTGAAGACCACTAAATTCTCACTCACAGCTTTTCCTTTGGAATTCACCTCCAAACCCCTCGTATCTTATCATAATTAGTTTAATATCATCAATTATCGCTTAAGGAATCAACTTTAATGCATAATTACAGTTTTCCCAAGTTTTCCCAACAAAGGTCAAAAATCGACCCCGGACCCGCCCAAACATGCACACAAGTCTTAAAATATCATACGAACTTGCTCATGCAATCAAATCGCCAAAATGACACCTAGAACTATGAATTTAGTACCAAATCAAATAAAATTCTCAAGAACACTTTAAAATTTTTATTTTCTCAACTGGACGTCCGAATCACGTCAAATCAACTCTGTTTCTTACCAAATTTCACAGACACATCTTAAATATCATAATGAACCTATACCTGGCTCCGGAACCAAAATACGGACTTGATACTAGTAATGCCAAATATCAATCAATTCTTAAAAATAAATAATTTCCAAACTTTTAATTTTCATCAAAAAATTCATAACTCAAGCTAGGGACCTCCGAATTCGATTCCGGGCATACACCCAAGTCCCATAATTCGATACGGACCTACCAGGACCGTCAAAGCATGGATCCGGGTTCGTTTACCAAAAATGTTGATCGAAGTCAACTAAAATCAACTTTTAGGGCAAAAATTCTTATTTTCATTAATTTTCAACATAAAAGCTTTCCAGAAACCTGCCCGAACTGCACACGCATATCGAGGAGGGTAAAAATAAAATTTTTAAGGCTTAAGAGTGCAAATTCGAGTTCTAAAACATAAAATGGCCTTTTGGGTCATCACATTCTTCTTCTTCGAATTTTAATATAAAATTCAGCCAAAATCAAGTCTAATCTTCACCAAAACACCCTCAGAATTGAGATATAAACTCCACACAATATTCCCAATTGTTTGCAACAACACCCCATCCAAACAAATAATGGTTTTTGAAAACCCAAATTCGAATGCAAAGCTTCAAAGCTTTTTAATGGCTATAAATGATGGAATTGCTGCTCTCTTACTGGAATTAGGGCCGATCTTCGAAAGTGTTTTCCTCTTCATTGAAAGTTAAGCAAGCAACAAGCATTAATGGAGGTGTGTGGTAGAGTATTTAGAGCTTGAATCTATAAAAATGGAGAGGGATTTTTGAAGAAGAATGAAAACATGCATTAATGGAGGGAGATATTGAAGATACGTGGGAGAGGGGGTGGAGAGAGAAACGTAGGGGGAGTGGGATATAGACGTTAGAGTGATTTTAGGATTTAATTATTATCATTAAATGCCTATAAATGTACATAATTGGTAATTTTGTATATATTATGTAATTACATTAAAACTTGAGTAGGGAGGGTAATAAAGTTTGAAATAGTGTATAGGAATGTAAAAATTCCATAATTTTATAATAGCAAATCACCGCTGGTTTGGGCCTGGTCCTGAAAATTGACTTGACCATTATAATATTATAGAGGTAAATTTTGAATTTCTTTGGAAAAATGGAGAGTACAATCACCACTATGATTAATTATCTAAATTTACTTACCTCATAACATGTGAACACTACATAAATGAACTGGATTCATATCTATGAACTACCAAAATGAAAAAACCAAAGGCTTTAATATGTTGGAAAAAATCTATAAATACTAGGATGCAACATTACAGAGTTCATATCACATAGTAACTCTTAGTAATTAATACTAGTTATATCATCATTATCCTTGAGAATGACTACTAGACTGATTAAGGGTCACAAAAGTGTTCGTCTCGCAAAGATAGAAAATCAGAATTATGAACAAGTGACTTTCTCAAAATGCCGAAATGGTGTCTTCAAGAAAGCAAACGAGCTTGCTGTTGTGACTGGTGCTGAAGTTGGCATCATCATGTGTCCACAAGGTAATTACAAGCCTAATTATATTTTTTTGTCATCTATATATACATGATATACCATCAACAAATATAACTTCTAAGCATAAATGTACATGCATCGTCATAACTAAACATGCAAATCCAAGATCGTGAACATGATAATTAATTTCACGTAAAATTATAGCATCATAAAAAAATACTTGGTGTGAAAGGCATTATAATAGTAGATAAACAGATTTCTCTCCTCTTGCCCTATTTTATATTACTGATTTCTCTCCTTTTGCTCTATAGGTAGCAAGCCTTACTCTTTTGGTCATCCAAATGTAAATGAAACCATCAACAAATATGTTGGCGAAGAAAGGCCTCCATCACCATCATCACCAGGCATTGATGACAAGTATGTCCAGATGTTCCGAAAAGCCAATTCTAGAGAACTTAAGACACGACTCAATTCTCTACAAGACCTGCTGGATTCTGCATTAAAATTGAAAAGCAAACTCAAGCAAATGAATAAGAATGTGGAGAGCCAACAAGAGTGGTTTAAGGGTCCTATAGAGAAGATGAACTACACCGAGGCTTCAATGTTGAAGGAGGGATTGGAAGATCTGCTCTTGAAGGTGAAAAACAATGGTACTGAGCGTTATGGTTACGAAAATGGAAAGTGGAAGGCTGAATAAAAGCTACTACTACTTTTATTTTAATAATCGTTCGTGTCATTTATTTTTTTATGATGACCCGATAGGTCATATTTAAATTTAATAATTATTTACGTGTTATTGATATCGGGATTGGAACCCGATTCTGAAAATTTGAATAGCTCCGTCATGTCATTTATGACTTGTGCGCCAAATTTGAAGTCATTCCGGATTCGTTTAATATGTTTCGGTACGAGGTTTATAAATTAAAAAGTTTGAAATTCAAAAGTTCGAATCGAGATGTGAATTGTAAATTCGATATTGTTTGACGTGATTTGAGACCCCGAGTAAGCCCGTATTATGTTACGGGACTTGTTGGTATATTCGAACGGGGTCCCGAAAATCTCGAGTGTGATTCAGATTGAAATTGGATCAAATTTTGGACTTAAGCAAATTCTGGAATTTACTGCTTCTGGTGTGTTCATTTATGCAAAGCCTTGGCTGCACTCCGCAGAAGCGTGAAGTCCGTCGCAGAAGCGGAAAAGGGGAAGGGGCAGCCTCGCCGCAGAAGCGGACATTTCTTCGCAGAAGCAAGTCCGCAAAAGCGAGCCAACCCATAGAAGCGACCACAATCTCCACAAAAGCGAGCACACGGATGCGGCACTTGTGCCCGCAGATGCAAAAAAGTCTGGGCATAACCCATAAAATCGAGGGTCAGCCATTTTTTCTCATTTTTGAGTTTTGAGCCTCGGATTTGGGCGATTTCAAAGGGGTTTTTCACGACTTCGACTTGGGTTAGTGTTTTATACCCGAAAGTGATTATATTTCATAAATGCATGCTTATATTCATCATTTATTTTGGACTTAGATGTAAGAAATTGGAATTTTTGTAAAACTTTCCAAAAAGAAAAAGTTAGGATTTGAAGGTCCATTTGACATCGGAATTTGATTATTTTTGTATGGTTGGATTCATCTTGGAACGGGTATTCGGATTTCATGAGTTTTTCCGAGATTCGTCAAATTGATTGTTTACATATTTATCGAAAATTTATATATTATTTTAAATTATGAGTTAATTATTATATAAATTATTTGTGATGACCTGATAGGTCATCTTATGTTTTAGAACCTAATTTTGCGCTTTGAAGTCTTAAAAATCTCATTTTTATCCTCCTCGATTTACGTGTGCAGTTCGAGCATGTTTATGGAAAGCTTTTATGTTAAACACTGTGAACAATATAAAATTTTTCTTTGAAAACCATTTAAGTGGACTTTGGTTAACATTTTGAGCAAAAGGTCCGGGATTCAAGTTTTGACGGTCTCGGTGGATCCGTATCGTAATTTGTGACCTGGGCGTATGCTTGAAATCAAATTCAAAGGTCCCTAGCCCGAGTTATTGATTTTTGTTGAAAATTGAAAGTTTGAAAGATTTATGATATTTAAGAATCGACTGATGTTTGGAATTATTGATACCGGGTCCGTATTTTGGTTTCTGAGTTCGGTACAGGTCCACTATAATATTTATGACTTGTCTGTCGAATTTGTTGAGAAAACGGAGTAGATTTGACGTGATTCGGATGTCTGGTTGTGAAAATAGAAGTTTCAAAGTTTTTTTTGAAAATTTCATTTGACTTGGTGTTCAATTCGTAGTTCTAGGTGTTATTTTGGCGATTTGATCGCGCGAGCAAGTTTGTATGATATTTTAGGACTTGTGTGCATGTTTGGTTTGGAGCCCCGAGGGCTCGGGTGAGTTTCGGATAGGCTACGGAGCGTTTTGAACTTAGCAAAACATAACAGCTGCTGCAACTAATCTGCAGACCTTGCATTTGCGAGGTCTGGCTCGCAAATGCGAGCCTCGCATTTGTGAATAGACCATGGCATTTGCGAGCAGTGGGCTGGGGGGAAGACCTTCGCAATTGTGAAGTTTTGCTCGCATTTGCGATCCTGGCAGTCCGCATTTGCTAACACTGGTTCGCATTTGCGAAGGCAGCAGACATAGCTATTCTTCGCATTTACGACCACTGGGTCGCATTTGCGATCAAGATCGAGTTTGCATTTGCGAACTATTCTTCGCATTTGCGAAGAATGTAGAGGTGTGATATTTCTCGCATTTGCGGGCTTCGCAATTGCGAGGTCCAGGTTGCAAATGCAATATCTGCAGCTGAACAACTATGACTTAGATGGAATTTTTGGTTTATTTCTCAAATTTTCAAAACTTAAAACATTAGAGGTGATTTTTCCAAGACTTCTTCTTCCCCAAATTGTTGGTAAGTGATTCTAACCTATTTCCTTTCAATCTTTCACTACATTTCACAAGTTTTCAACCTAAAATCTAAAGTTTTCATTGTGGAAATTGAGATTTTTTGGGTAGAAATTCAGGATTTGGTAAATTGGGGATTTAGACCTCAAATTGAGGTCGGATTCCAAAACAAATCACATAACCGAGCTCAGGGTGAATGGGTAATCGGGTTTTGGTCTGAATTTCGGGTTTGGACCAAGCGGACTCGGGTGTTTTCTTTTGTTGACTTTTTCAATAATGGATTTAATTGAATTTTTTACAACCGTGGGTAATTCATAAGGCTTAATTTGAATAGTTTGGTTGGTAAATTGCTAGATTCTATTGGTTGGGAGGCTTGTTTGAAAGGAAAAGCCGTTGTTGAGCTTTGAGTTTGTCTTCGGAGCGAGGTAATTGTCGTGGTTAACCTTGACTTCAGGGAATAGGACTTGTTTGTCTATTTGCTACATGTTTAAATGTTGGGGAACAACGTATATGTGAGGTGATGAGTACTTATGCATTATAGTCGGGTTAAAGCATGCGGGTGGGGCTTGGTTTCTTGCAATTATAGATTCCTTTATTAATGTTTATCCGTGTTGAGACTAGTATTGCTAAATTAATTGTTCTTATCATGTTTACGATTCTTCGGGTGATAATTGAGTATTAATTCCGAAGTTGAGGTTGATATTGTGGAACCAAATATTGAAGTAAGGTTTGTACTTGTTATTATGTCTCCCTGTTGTTATTTGTTCATTGCATTATGGTAAGGGAGAGTGTTAATGCACGAAGGGTGACGTCGTGCCATATTGTGAGTGTTAATGCATGAAGGTTGATGCCGTGCCATATTGTGAGTGTTAATGCACGAAGGGTGATACCATGCCATGTTATGAGAGTTAATGCACGAAGGGTGATACCATGCCATGTTATGAGAGTTAATGCACGAAGGGTGATACCGTGCATTTTATTTTGCTGTGTTTACTTACTCCTATTGGTTCAAGGTATAATGGTTGCTCAAGTTATCATTACTGATGTGATTCTCTATCTTGTATTCCCCTCAGTATGTTCCCCCTCCCTATATTACTTGTGTAGCTTTTACTTGGCGTTATTTTTGTACATATACTAATAAATTGCACAAGTTTTTTATGTAGGTTTCTTGTCATAGCCTCGTCACTACTTCGTCGAGGTTAGGCTAGACACTTACCGGTACATGTGGTCGGTTGTACTGACATTGCACTCTTCACTTTTTGTGCAGATTTTGGTACCAACCCTAGATGATCGTGAGGCTTAGCAGCTTGGATTTGCTGTCAGGACACCCAAGGTAGATCTGTTGGCATCCGCAGACCCTGGAGTCTCTTCCTAGTGTTATCATTTACTATTTCCTTACTTCAAAATAGTGCATTTTCCCTTTTCAAACTCTATTTATAGTAAATCATAGCAGCTCGTGAGTTGTGACTCCAGATCCGGGTGGTAGTAATTAATGAAGTTTTTATATCATTCCATACTCGTTGTATTTCATTTTATCTTATTTGATTCTGCTATTGAAATTGACTAAAAATTGGTTTAAAGAATCCTCTAAAGTTGGCTTGCCTAGCAAGTGAAATGTTAGGCGCCATCACGGTCCCGAAGGTGCGAATTCCAATTGTGACAAGTAGGTATCATAGAACTAGGTTGCCTAGGTATCACAATTCACGAGCAGGCTTAGTAGATTCTGGAGGATCGGTACGGAGACGTATGTGCTTATCTTCCAAAGGCTATGAAATTTAGGAACCATTTCACTTCTATTATTCTCTGTCGTGCAATTTTATTCTATCATTGCTGATTGAACTTTTCTATTCTTGTCCTTCTGCAGATGGCGAGAACATGTATCGCATCTTTAGTTGAGAAGGTGCACTAACTCCTGCTACCCATGGCACCAGCCGTCTCTCAGGCTGGAGGAGGTGCACTAACTCCTGCTACCCACACTCCGGAGCAGATGGCTCCCTAGTATCAGACTCCAGCAGCTCAACCAGTCGGAGTAATTCAGCCGGTTATTGCAGCACAGGCCGGTGATGTACCAGCTATGTTTTCTGAGGGCTTATTGAGATTGGACAAGTTCACCAATCTCTTCCCAGTTCACTTCAGTGGTGCACCTTCTGAGGACCCACAGGATTATCTTGACCGTTGCCTTGATGTTCTGCGGAACATGGGGATAGTTAAGACCAATGGGGTCGATTTTACTGTGTTTCAGATGATGGGTTTCGCCAAGAGATGGTGGAAGGATTTTGTATTGACCAGACTAGTGTGGTCGCCTGCTCTTGCTTGGGACCAGCTCTCTCAGCTCTTCCTAGAGAAGTTTCTATTTATTACATTGAGAGAGGAGAATCGTTGTCAGTTTGAGCGTCTCCAATAGGGCAGTATGACTGTTACTTAGTATGAGACCCGTTTTGTGGATTTGGCCCATCATGCTCTTCTTCTGCTTCCTACCGAGAGAGGGAGGGTGAGGAGGTTTATTGACGAACTTGCTCAGCCCATTAGATTGCAGATGGATAAGGAGATTGTGAGTGAGATTTCTTTTCAGGTGGCTGCCAATATTGCCAGGCGAGTCGAGATGGTTCTTACTCAGGGAGGTCAGGGGTCTGACAAGAGACCACGTCATTCTGGGGGGTTCAGCGATGCCTCATTTGGAGGCAGGGGTACTTTTGGTAGAGGCCATCCTCCCAGACCGTTTCATTCAGCACTTCAGGTATCCCATGGTGCCTCACGTGGTCGTGGCCCTCATATGCCTTAT